TCTTTGGCACCCCCGACATAAGAATGCATTTTAACTATACATTGTCCTTTAAATGTTTTTCTTATCAGGGACTAAAATCAGTTCAATATCAGAATATGAAAATCTGGGTGTCTTAGTTAGAGGTCAATTTACTAATTTTTGTCAGCTATTTGACCAACTCTGTGGCAGCATAAATGCAGCATATGAAATATGACCACAACAAACCAACAAGAAGCTCTCTGAAGGTAATTCAGGCCCATTATCTTATAGTCACCTCTTTTCATTAACTTTGTAAGTATTAGCAGATAGAATCAATATATATTAATGTCTCTCACATCTTAAAATTAGGGATTTTCAAGTTTCTGTTCAATTGAGATAAGCACCTACTATAATTCAAATTGAAATTATAACTTCATGACAACCCATTCTCCACTCTCAATGTCACCCACCCTAATTTAATTTTAAACCTTACAACTTACGGCTCTCCATTGCAAGGACTGTGATATTATGCACGGCATTTGTCTCCCGATCCAATGATTTGGCAGTTGTGATAACACCACTGTTGGCATCAATGTTGAAGTATCTCTCCAAGTCTGTGTTTCTATCAATTGAATACCTAATTGAACATTAAAAAAAACAAAGAAAAAAAAAACTTCAACAGTTATGTTTGATTATGATTTGCTAAAGTTGTTTCATTAATTGTATAGTCAGTGACCAAATCCTGTTGACTCCATGATCTGTCATATTAGTGACATAAATGCGTACTTAAAAACTTCACCAATGTTATGGTTGGTTCTTAACCTGCTTGTCAGAAATCTCTTTGCTTTTCTGTCAGATGGTACAAAATAAACACCACTGTATAGTGATCTTCACAGTAGCTTTGCATGTGCCATTATAAACTTTAAATAATTCATTTATTATTAATATTATTATTTTGGCTTCTAAATATCATTTATAATAGCCCTGGTCATGTTTATAGCGCCCTCTAAAATGAAGCATATAGACACCTTGCCCATTCACATATACTTAGTAACATCATTTGTCTTTATAATACCAGCTTGATCTTAATCCTTTTTGTGTGTGTGTGTGTATCTCTCACTCAGGGGTCTTGACTTGGGTTCCACAGATATGTTCCAAAGTTGAACCCCTAAAAATGGCATGACTTTTTTGATATGTAAACACTTTTCACAAAATATCCACTCTCCAAATGTTAGTGAAATACCACTGCTCTAACTTGTATTCTTATTGCATGTAATTATTTGTTTCACATGGAAAATTCACTCTCCCCTCAGAAATGGCTACCTTCAGATTCCAGTCGGTCTTTTTATTTGGGTGAAATAATGGTACTCATTTATAAAGAAACAGTTAAGTAAACAAAAGAACAAACAAGTATCAAATACACACCCTATTTAGGCTAAGTGTTTTAAATTTACATAGTAATTCTCCACTACTAATATTAAATTGAATCATCTCCAACTCTGTTGTATTACAAAATGCAAGAAACATGGAAAGAAAAGAGGAGGCATCAGAAAATGTTAGAAAATTAACCATAACCCAACAAATATTATTGCCTTTGTGCTATACTAGGCGTTTGGTGGTGAGAATATGAGGAAGTTATTTTTGATGGTTTCTATACTCTCGATGGCATATGAGGCAAGGTTATCAGCTGAGAGAGCATGGAGAGGAAGGCGGTTTGACGAGAAGGAGAGAGAAGTAATTTTTTTAGAATGGACATACACATACACAAGCACACGTGAAAGTGTAATAGAAGAGCTTAGCAGTATGGATTGACCCTTTGAGGTTAGGGCTCATTAATTTAATGTGAAACCAGTCATCGTGTTTGTCTTACTCCATTCTTGTCTATGTGTTTGAAAGTTCATAACAGGCACAGGGTTGGATTTAACCAGCTGTGGACAATGGAAGGAGAGAGGGGTAAGGAGGACAGGGGCATATGCACGGGACTCCTCATGATGAAGGCCTGTGCTATGCAAGTTGGTAAGAGGGAACTGAAGAATGAAACGCAGATGCTGAGAAGGTGGTAGCACCATCACCAGATTGCAGGTCTTGATGAGGGTGCAGAATTGCTCAAGTGGGCAGTGGTGGGCAGAGAGTGAGACACTTGAAGTAGCTTTCACCAGTAGTGTGTATATGAGAGCTCGTAAGACTCTATGACTGAATCTGGGCAGAGCAACAGAGCACTGGAGCCACGAAGACCAACAGAGTAAGACACCAGCAAGTCTGATGGGCCACGGGTGTAGCTGAATCAGTTACTAGTCACCATGCCGGGAGTCATGGTGGGAAGAAACAAAATGGTCTGCACACTGAAATCCTCGGTGAATTGTGTGCTTACTGTACATTCAGTGGTTGATAGCAACATGGAAGATTCTGAGTAAAGTCTGATGACATATTCTACAAAACAGTTAAGAGTTTTGAAGGTAAAAGAATATTAAATAGTTTGGAAATGGCGATGGCAGCATGAAGTGTATTCACTCCCACCTATAGGATCTGTGCTCCATGGAATGTGAGAGGAATATCAGTCTTGCTTGAGATTCCCCACACTCCCTCCTTACCATCCTTATATTACAGCCAGTCTTCATTCAAATCAAAACCCAACCATTGCACTTAAGCTGCATATCCCACTTGATCTGACCTTCTTAAGAATGGTTTCCCTTGGAATTAAATACTTTTCCTCTTCTACAGCTTTAGTAGAATCAAAAGCATATGTTTTCTATAAAAACAAACAAACAAAAAAAAACCAAGTTTCCTCCATTTGTGTCAAGTTCATCGATGGCCTCCATATTGTCACAGGCACTGCTCGCTGCTTCTCTGTCCTTTCCTTACTATCTCTCTCACCCAAACATACTTGAGTTGACCACTCACTCCCCTACAAAACACATTCTCCTTTTGCCCTTACTAATAATACCACTTCTTCCCTGTGTTTTTCCTACCTCACCATCTGCTGATTTTCCATCACCTTGGCTGGTCATTCCTCCTCTTCGTGACCTCTAATTACTTGAACTCCCCCAAAGCTCTCCCATGGGTGCTCTTCTCTTCTTGATATAAACATTTTTTCTTGGCAACTTACATAGCCCCGTGACTTAACCACCTTGTATATTTTTTATGGCTCCCACATTTACATAAAATCTCCTTGGGCCACTAGACAAATGTGCTGCATTACCTGCTTCATAGCACCACGTGGATATACAACATGACCGGAAATGAAACATGTCCAAACGGATGTTACAATTCCTACAGTCTCCCAACCAGTTTTTCCTTCCCTCTTTCCCGAGGAAATGACACACCAGTCACTTGATTGCTCAAAATAAAAATCTAGAATTCATCCTTGATTTGTTTTTTTCTCTCTTACCCCTGCATACAACTTGTCAACAACTGATGTCATATGCTACCAGCCAAAGTTACCATCACCTTAGCTGAGTTTCGCATTATTGTACCCCTTATCAGCATACTTTCATTCTTACTGTGCACGGTCCACTTCCACACATCAGCCATACAAACAAGAGAGAATTGTATTCATTGTTACAAACCGACTTTAACTTTCAATTACATAGGAAAACTACATTTTTTTTCTGAAATGCTATGAGTCAAGCCATTACATACCAATATTTCATATGGTTAACATACTGTATATAACTATACATATGCATTTGTGTGTGTGTGTGTGTGTGTGTATATATATATTAAACATACACACATATATATACACATATGTATATAACCAACATACATATATACTTTTATATTTTATCCAATGATAATAGGAAACTGATATTAATGTTTGACAAGAGGATTATAACTTAAAACCCATGAACTCATGCATCAATTAAGCTAACACTAAAAGCCTTAATTGTTCATTTATTCAAGTCACTGTGATAATGTCTGCATATTCAGGAACAATAGACTTCCAGATTATTACAAAGTAAAAAGGCCTTGAACTTGACACATATCTGTCTAAAGCAGTTCATTTAATTCCCCACAGAGCTAAAGTCAATGACTAAAACATTTGCCTGTATTATCAATCGTCTCAAAGTTCCCAGGATTAAAATAAAGGCCAATAAACTTGAGAATTCATTTAATATGTTAAATGTCTGAAACTTCTGTTCCCCTCACAGAAAAATCTCTAATCTTTTAGAGACCCAGTTATCACCTAGGCCTCTATATATTTTGAAGCACAGAGAGCAACGTTTCTATCATTCGAATATTAATCACTTCTAAATCATAAACTATGTAGCGTCCACTTATAAATGTGCATGTTTCAATACCTGTAGTTCTCACATGGATCTCACTAAAAAGCACAGCTTCATATATACATATTTGGTAATCTGTGGATTATTCTGACATTCTTATCTCATGTCTCCCTTTCGTCATTCATGCAATCAGCCATTATCCTCAAGCACCTGCATGTGACACCCGATTTAAGAAAAATGGTATAAGATTAAACTATTTTTTAAAAATAGCAACCTATAATAAATATTAGGAGGAAACCAACACACTGCTATCCAAGAGTCTGATGAAGAAGTCAGGGCAGATGTGGGAGAGAATGAGGTGGTGGCTTGATAAAGGGTAGAAGACCTCGGCAAGATCGGGGAGCTGACAAACCATCCAGAATGACTGTGGTGGTTATTATGTGTCTTAGTCACAAAGATTTGGGATCACTCAGTATTAAAGGGGTTCCCCCAATTTCTACCAGCCCCTCTTGACATGCAAAAGGCTAGCATTTAGGTATGAGGTGTTACCTAATGTATAATGTTACCCAAGAAAAGCAACCCCTTGACCAAGAGAACAAAAGAAAATATGGGCACTTTCTTGAGTGACAATCGGGGAGGGCTGACTGCAACCAAAGAGAAGAAAGGCCCTGGAGAATCCGGGGGACAACACTTAGCAGTTTGGGATCTACTGGCCTAGGGACGGACAAATGCAGTCGCCCGAGTCAGAGGCTGAGCAGGAAAGGAAAGGGTAGGTGTTGCTCTAATCAAGAACTCAAGTTATCTTCCACGTCCCTCCTGATGCAGTTGGTGATGTGTGGACCCAAAACGATCCCTTTAATTTCTGCAAATTACAGCCTAACACACTGGGCCTCTTTCGTTGTATGTTGGAGTGACCAATGAGAGAGATCACGTCCATATTTTTGCAGCAACAGCAGTTGAAGCTTCTGCCCAACCTGATTCTGATGCAGATGCTCAAAACCCCCATATCCAGCCTCAGTCTATTCCCTGAGATTTTGGAAATTACTCTAGATACCTACAGTATTGTCAGCTCAAGATCAGATATCTAAAAGTAGATTCATCAGCCTTTCCCAAAAAACTATCCCTCCCCCTAAACTTTCCCATTTTCACAATGAGTTGAGTATTTAGAACACAGTTAACTTGTTTTGTCCTAATCCTCAAACAATGCAAGGCCACATATGACAGTCTTCTATTTGCATGCCGAATATTTGCATGCCTAATATCCACTTGCCCTTAATTCTTACTAATGGAATCCTGCTTTTGTTAGAGACAGCTATACATCCAGCTGAAAAACTACACGTGCTACTGTCCCTTGTAGGATGTAGTGTCCTTTTATCTAAGTTTTAGTGAATGAGATACCAAAGAAAGTTGT